GATCAAGAATAATAGTAATACTAATAATGCTAGTGAAAGTAGTACCAATACTAGTAATACTACTGATAAGAAGAAAGCAACTAATAATACTAAGACGAATACTGATACTAATGCTAAGAAGAAGAGAGGAGGATGAGAAGGATGAGAAGGAGCAGGAGGAGGCGGAGGAGGAGGAGGAGGAGTAATAGTAATAGTATTAATAATATTTTTACGAGAAGGAGGAGGAGGAGGAGGAGGAGGAGGAGGAAGGAAGAGGAGGAGGAGGACGAGGACGAGGACGAGGAGGAGGAAGAGGAGGAGGAGGAGGAGGGAGGAGGAGGAGGACTTGGAGGAGGAGGAGGAGGAGGGAGGCGGGTGCCGTGGCACAAACTATTTAGTTACCCCTCATTGGGCGGACCAGTCCTTCAATAAGGCTGCCGAACAAATAATTTGTTGCCCCCTACTGGGGTGTCTGAAGACCTATCAGGGCCACCCTCACCGCTGCTTGTCCTGGAGAGGCCTCGTCGCCAATGCTGGACTCTCCTCAAGTTTCTGATCAGAACGCACACCAGGAGACGTCCAGGGAGCGGCGGTATCGGTCCCTTTCTATCTCCTCGAAGCGTCAGGGGTCAGGGAGTGGAGGTTCGAGACGGTCTTTGACATTCTCGTCGGTTCCCGGCGGTTTCCCAGCCTCGGCATGCGTTCCAGCGCGCCTCGCTGAGAGCGTTCCGGGGGTGCTCGGATCGTTTCGCACGGGGGCTGCGGACCCGAGCTATGACCGGGAAACCCATTCGGGATTGGCTCAGGGAGAAACGCATCGGGCCCCGAATGCCCACTGATTGCCGGTAGTGGCCCGATAGCCCACCCCGCCCAGGAAAGTGCGGATACCCTATCGGGGGTCCATCGCCGATCCATCGGCATTGCATCGCAGATTCGAGCTCGATGCTTCCCCCTCCCGAGCCAGTTTCCACCCCCTGTCTGTCTCTCCCCCTCCAAGGCGGGCCGAGGCAAGGCGGCGAAGGCGCCGGCGGCGAGAGGCCCGGCTTCGGCGGAGGCAGAGCCCGCCACGCTGAAGCCCGCGGCCGCATCGCGGGAGGACAACCTCACCTACGACCTAAGGCACATGGCGGCGTTCGACATAAGCCCGCTGCATCCAAAGGTCGACTTCTTGGAGTATACCCGCGACTCCGTGCAGCTGCTCGTGAACAAGATCTATGCCCTGCCGCGCAAGCAGCTGGAAGAGGGGACTGTGGCCGAGCTCCCTCATGAGGAGCTGTTCAGGCTGCCGCGTCAGAAACCGGTGCCCAAGCAAAAGCCAAAGACGCGCTGGCAACAGTTCATGGAGGAGCGCAACATGAGGAAGAGAAAGAGGAGCAAGCTCGTCTTTGACGAGGAGAGTGGTGATTGGAGGCCTCGCTGGGGATACGGCAGCGTCAAAAAGGCCAAGGAGGCCCGATCGTTCATCCACGAGGTAAAGGAGTCAGGGCGGCTAACATCGTAGGGTTGGGAAATTTGGCGACCTTCTCCCCCTCCTCCTCCCCCCCCTCCTCCACCTCCTCCTCCTCCTCCTCCACCGCCTCCTCTTCTTCTTCCTCCTCCTCCTCTTCCTCCTCCTCCTCCTCCTCCCCACACCTACTCCCCGTCCTCCTTCACCTCCCCCTCTCCTCCTCACGGTCCTCCGCATCTTTTCCTGCTGCTCCTCCTCTCTCTCCTCCACTCGTCACCTCTCGCCCCTCCTTCGGGCTGCGACTACGCACCCTGCCCTCCCCTGGCCCTGGCGGCCGCCCACGAGGAGGGCGAGAACCCGTACGCGGACCCCTTCGCGAAGGCGGCGGCGGAGAAGAAGCTGATCGCCGCGAAGCAGAAGCTGCGGGAAGTGAGGAACAAGGCCCGGGGCGGCGGCTTCCGGCCCCCACTTGGGGCTTCTGGGCGCCCTCGGAGGCCTCGGGATGCCTCCGGGGACCTCCGAGAGGCTGGAGGCTCTCCGGAGGCCTCCGGAGAGCAGGACCGCGGCCGCACGCCAGCAGCGGGCCTGGCCAGGCCTGTCGGGGGCCTCTGGGATCAGTGCTGCATGCCCTCTCGGGGCGTGCGCACCGACCCCCATGGCATAGGGTGGGTCTTGCCATGGCAGGGTCCAGCTCGATCCGATCCAGCTGACTCGGCATTGAGTTCAGCTGGCCTGAGGAGGAGGAGGAGGAGGAGGAGGAGGAGGAGGAGGAGGAGGAGGAGGAGGAGCTCCGATGCTCCGACGATCCGAGGCGGGCCGAGGCCTGCACGACGCC